TATAGTTTTCGAAAGTTTTATCACTTTTTGTTTATAATTGACATTTTTACAGCAACTTTAAAAAATTGACGTTTTATACCGTTTTTTCAATCTCTCGGCTTTGTTATTGCAAATTTCCTAATCGGACCACCGCCATTTTGTAGCTATTTTCATTACGAACAAAATCATGTCCTAAGCATTTTTTCGTACAAAGTCATCCCGCTGAGTTATTTAAAGAAAACTACTAAAAAAAAAATTTCACAATTAAATTGTTAATAACTTTTTTCCTGATAAAATACTTTGTCAGCAAATTAACCTGTTATTGTACTCATCATTTAAAGTATTCCTGTGTAGTTATTTCCGAGTTATCAAGGAAATGTCACCAATAGAACTTTTCGGCCTCTGCCGATTGGACTATATTAACTTTTTATTTTTTTAAAATACTGGTTACTGAGACTAATAATAATTAAAGTAATGAACATTATATTTTGTTAAATCTAATGCATTTTTCTGTAGGAAAAATATTAAAAAATGCATTTATGCAAAAAACAAAATATAAGCAAGAAATTAATAATTATAGACCGCTGTATTAGAGATGAATATGATATATAATAATATGTAGTTATAAAAATAATCTTAAATAGTAATTTTTCAATTGTCATAAAATACAATTTAATCATACAATATAAGCCCTTCTTATGACCTCAATTTTTATTTTCTTTCTTAAAATTTGGACTTCTTTCTTAGCACAAAAAAAATGTTTTTGATTTACTAGAATTTAATTTTAAATTATGTTCTTCAAATAACTGCTTAACAGTTTGTAACTCAGAGCTGATGCAGATCATGAACATCATAATATAGTTGATTATCATCAGTATAAGTTTGTAATTTACATTGTTGAACTGATTCTAAAATGCAAGCAGTGTAAATTACAAAAAGTAAAGGACATAAAATTGAACTCTGGGGAACAACAGAGAGTATTTCCAAATTATTAGAGAAAATATTATTAACATAATATTCCTGTTGAGACCTTATAAATAAGAATTAATAAGAGTATAATTTGGTTCATCAAACCCATAGTACTTAAGTTTAGAACAAAGAAGCTTATGATTAACTAACTAGACATCTGTCACGAGCTTTTATTGTCATTTGTGACGGTAATTGAAGCAGTTGAAGTACTATATCCTTTTCTAAAGCCACACTGCGATTGAAATAAGAAACTATTATTTATAATATAGTTATAAATTTAATTGTATAACACTCTTTCAAAAATTTTGGAAACTGCTGGTAATATTCTAAGATTAGAGGATAATTTAGTTTATTTATTATTTTATATTTTGAGGTATAGGAAAACCAATTATTGTCCTTATTAACCCCTTCGTGGGGGTGGGGGTGGATTTAATTTGCATATATTTCTTACAAATGTTAAAAATTTTATTTTAAAACGTTTTCTCAAAATATTTACAAATTGTTACACTTCAGTATAAAGCTTTATCTTGTCCTCACTATTTCACCCTATTTTTGGGGATGTTTTAGCATTTTACTAAAAAATGATCTATTAAATGGGTTTTTGAGTTACGGATTCAGATTCAGCATCAAAATATACACAAAATATATGTACTCATGTATCTGATACAGAACTTTTTTTGTGTGGTTGTTATTTAACTTATTGCGTTATAAACAATTCAATGCCTTGTTTTCATTAGTTTTTTTACTAATCAAGATTTTGCATAGCATTTAATCTGTTGATGTTTTATTGCTTTTAAAACCACATGTGGTTTTATTGGTGATAAATCTCCTAGTGCTATTTAACTGCAATGAATTTTGAAATATTAAAGTAAAAATTATCAAAATATTTTTGTATCGTTTGATAATAAGATTTTCCGGATGACGTTATATATATTATTATATAAGATCATCGAATTGAGGTAAACCAAATTACTGCTGCTTTTCCATTTCATTATAAAGTGCTCTCTTTTTAATTTGTGCATTTTAGGGCTCAAGCAAATTTTGTCCAGTAATTTATGTGATTGTCTCTAGCTACCTATGATGACCCTGAATTCATTAAACTTAATAATACTGAGGTTTCATTATGTGTAATTTATTTATTCACAAAAAAAAACAACAAATCAAACATAAAACAATCAATTTTTATTCAGTCTGATGATTGATTTACCTAATACTGAGGTTGTGCATAATTTTGAGCATGCTCATAGTCAGCTTGCTGCTCATAATCAACTTGTTGTTCGTACTCAATTTGTTGTTCGTTGTCTTGGTTATGAGTGTTAATTATTTTCTGTATTTCTTCTGGAATAGAAGGTGGAGTGGGTAAATGTGCTCCTTGGGGTTGGAAACCATTCTCGTCAGCGACATAGCTAAGGGTAATAGGATGGCCGTGTTCATCGTGGTATGTTATCGAACCCTGCTGAACTAGAGTTTCATGTTTTTTATCACCTTTGTTCTTAATATAGCCTGATTCTTGAGCGTGAATTCCATTACCGGTTTCATAACTGAAAGACAAAGTTATTAAGAGAAAAGGATATTTAAAATAATTAACAAAATGTATTTACAATAGGAAGTTTTAGTTTCTCGTGATTTCAAAGTAATACTTAATAGAAACAGTTGAAACATGCATTTCGGAGACAAAAATAAAACTTGCGTTATTTAAATAGTTTGAGTTTCTTCTGAAGAAATGATCGATGTACCTCATGAAATGTCAGGTCTACACTGACTATACCGACGATGCGCCAACAAACCTAGAAATTGTTCAACCACCGTGTCTCGAAAATGATTCGAATTAAGAAAATAGTGAAATATACAATTTTAAACATCCCCATGTTTCATATAAAATTTCTTCATCCTGGCTTTCCTTCAAAAATTACAGCCACTCTTAGATGGATGCAGAAGTAAGTAGGTACCTATATACACAATATACAGGATACAAGCCTGTAACTTCTTTATTTTTTGGCCGATTAATTTCTTTTTACAATGTATGGTAAAAAAAACTCTATCTAACACATCATGAAGTGCTCGTCTAAAGGTGTATCGAATTTTTTGAAACTTGGCCATAAGAATAAGTAATCTGTTTTTTTTTTGAAAAAAAAACACTATTACCAATTAGCTGTTTTAAAGTCCAAAAACGCGCCCTAGTTGGCCGCGGATTGCATTAATAAAATCACAGTTAGATAGTTTTTTTTATCCTACATCCTAATTTTTTTTTTTAAATCGGCTACAAAATAAAGAAGTTACAAGCTTATATTAAATTTAAGCGCGACATCATGAAGTGCTAGCCTGAAGATATATCGAATTTGATGAAACTTGGTGATAAGACGCTGATCTGTTTTTTGGAAAAAAAATAGCTAATACCAATTAGCTGTTTTGACGTCAAAAAACGCGTCCTAGTTGGCCGTGTATTCTTTAATAAAAATAGCAATATCACAGTTAGATGGAGTTTATTTTTACTCTACATATAAGAAAAATTTTTGAAATCGGCCAAAAATAATTAAGTTACAGTCTTGTATCACATTTAAGCGCAGCACCCTGTATATTTCTAACGGTTGTTATACCGTCATATTACATATATGAGAAAAACTGAGTTATCAGGTTGAACTGCATCTGAAATTGTTTAAGTCTCGACTATTCGATTCCTGTTTTGGACCTAGTTTCAAGAGTTTAAAATTAATTAAATTTTGCAGGAAAAAGGAAGGGATGACCGAGGTCACACCTCGGATCGAACTGTCGGGTATCTCTAAGGAGCATGTTAGATAGCCTGTGAGAGCCTCGATCTACCTACTCTCCAAACCGTACTGCCAATCGTCTCCAAGCCCTCAATCTGCCTACTCCTTGCAGAGATCTCAAGAGAGAAAACTAAAATGTATCAAATTAATTTAAATCAAATCTAAAAATGTTCCTAAAACCAATCTAAATTAATATGCTTTCAGGCACCAGCATATAGGTATAGTAATAATACAAATTTTATTAAAAAAAAAGGCCAAACCCAAGACACCCACATATCATTTGCGAAGGAATTCGATGCGCAGAACACGATCCTGCAATCAAAATTCATGACTTGCCTATGAATTTCGGAAAAAATGAAATTTTTGGGTGAAAGCGCCCAAATATGGATCCAAACTGATTTTTTCCTAAATTTTGTCCAAATATATCAGTTTTGTAGTATTTTAAGACGCTGACACGATGTCACTACTAAAATTTACCCATGACCTTTATATTTCTCAGAAAAACCACTATTTGTGTGAAAAGTGGCTCAAATATGGATCAAAATAGATTTTTTCCTAAATTTTGTCGAAACATCATTTTTATAATATTTTAAAGAACTGAACACGATGCCACTACTAAAATTTACCCATGGCCTTTATATTTCTCAGGAAAACCACTATTTGGGTGAAAACTGGCCCAAATATGGATCAAAATAGATATTTTCCAAAATTTTGTCGAAACATCATTTTTATAATATTTTGAAGAGCTGAACACGATGCTACTACTAAAATTTACCCTAGGCCTTTATATTTCTCAGAAAAAACACTATTTGTGTGAAAACTGGCCCAAATATGGATCAAAATAGATTTTTTCCTAAATTTTGTCGAAACATCATTTTTATAATATTTTGAAGAGCTGAACACGATGCCACTACTAAAAGTTATCCACGACCTTTATATTTCTCAGAAAATTCACTATTTGGGTGAAAACTGCACCAAATATGGGGCAAAACTGATTTTTTTTTTTTTCAATTTTGTCCAAATATGTCATTTTCGTGGTATTTTGAGGCGCTGAACATGATGCGATCAGTAAAATTTACCCATGCCTCGATATTTCTCAGAAAGTCCACTATTTGGTTGAAAACTGGCCAAAATACAATACAAATATATTTGAACCAAATTTAGGGAAAAAATCAGTTTTAACCCACATTTGGGCCAGTTTTCACCCAAATAGTGGATTTTCTGAGAAATTTAATTATGAAAAGTAATTAAACTAGCTCGCCAAACTTTAATGTCGGATTCTATATCACAAATGAACAAAAAAAAAGTTGCCTATTTATCTGGAAACGTTTTGTTTTCGATATACCGGGTGTGCAAAATTAATGAAATCATGTAGGTATGTAGGTGGTACAAATAATTACTATTTTTCGTTAAATAACGTGAAGTAATCACGTTTTTAATAATTATTATTATTGTTATTTCAAATATAATTTGATGTTTTCACACTTTAAGTAACAATTATTATTATTATTATTATTATTATTATTATTATTATTATTATTGTTATTGTTATTGTTATTGTTATTGTTATTGTTATTGTTATTGTTATTGTTATTGTTATTGTTATTGTTATTGTTATTGTTATTGTTATTGTTATTGTTATTGTTATTGTTATTGTTATTGTTATTGTTATTGTTATTGTTATTGTTATTGTTATTGTTATTGTTATTGTTATTGTTATTGTTATTGTTATTGTTATTGTTATTGTTATTGTTATTGTTATTGTTATTGTTATTGTTATTGTTATTGTTATTGTTATTGTTATTGTTATTGTTATTGTTATTGTTATTGTTATTGTTATTGTTATTGTTATTGTTATTGTTATTGTTATTGTTATTGTTATTGTTATTGTTATTGTTATTGTTATTGTTATTGTTATTGTTATTGTTATTGTTATTGTTATTGTTATTGTTATTGTTATTGTTATTGTTATTGTTATTGTTATTGTTATTGTTATTGTTATTGTTATTGTTATTGTTATTGTTATTGTTATTGTTATTGTTATTGTTATTGTTATTGTTATTGTTATTGTTATTGTTATTGTTATTGTTATTGTTATTGTTATTGTTATTGTTATTGTTATTGTTATTGTTATTGTTATTGTTATTGTTATTGTTATTGTTATTGTTATTGTTATTGTTATTGTTATTGTTATTGTTATTGTTATTGTTATTGTTATTGTTATTGTTATTGTTATTGTTATTGTTATTGTTATT